GAACAGGAGGGCACCTCTTCCTCTGACACTAGAAGAAAATAGGGAGGGGAGGTGCAAGAGGCATGTTCTTTCATGGGTTTGAAAATGAGGATTTCAGAGCATTGAAGACCACAGTTTTCCTGTTATGTAAGGAAATATACTGAGAAAAGAAAGGAAAGGTTTGGAGAAAACCACTGAGGCATGTTGGCTTTCACTAGTGTATATTTTTGGATATAAGGTTTGAAGCAGTACTAAATTTTAACTTTGAGCTTCATGCAGGGGATCATACTGATAATCTTTGAACCACCGGTCTTTGGTTTATATATTGAAGGCTCAGAAAATCTTGATTAAATATTACAAATAAAACTTAGTTATGAGTGATTCTAATTTGAATTCAGGTTTTGTTATCTGATGAAGTGGGGGGTCCCTTTCCCCATTGGGTGCTGGGGGTGGAGTCCTTACGCTATCTCAAGAAAAAGAATTTTCTGAGACTGCCACAGGAGAATGAGTGATTTTTGTTTGTGTGGAATTACATCCCTGGGTTTACAAAGTCCCATTTCTCTTAGTCCAGTCATAGAAGTGTAGCTGGGGATTCAATAAAGCTACAAGCAAAGCCAGTGTCCAGAGTTCTCTTTCCAGGTTGGAGCCAGGTCCAGTTCAGTATCAGGCCAGTTGCAGTCCATTTAGTCCATTGTGTGTGGGGTCTGCATGGCCATGGGCCATGTGGGTGAACACAAGGGGAGCCCCACAAATCTTCACACAAGTCGTAAGAGTCCCAAGCGCAATAAGAGCATAAGAGAGTGAACTCTTTTGTTCAGGGGATTAAATATCCCAAATTTTGAGCTCTTGCAGTGATCATACCCATTCTGGCCAATGACCTTTGTTCTTAGGTGTGACTGGCAACAAGCACCTTCCCTAGTCATCCCAACTTTACTGGTCATGTGTCTAAAACCCCTTTTTTACCCCAAGGAAATGTAAAATTATAGCTTCCTGGTAAAGCTGCCCAAATGACATGCCTGTAATAGCTGCCATTTGCTCCTTTCCTGTTATTAATAACTAGTTAATTACGATATTGGTTTTGGTTCATGTAGTATAATGAACTGATTTGGGGGAGATTTTCTGGCATCTTACCCCACTGTAAAAATTTATTTTATCAGTGTTTCTTTCTAAATCCTCATTTAATCATCCTGGCTTATAAGGGAAATATCTGGGGACCTAGAGATCATACTTTAATTTATCTTTGTGACATCACAGGCTACTCATTTCTTAGAATTTACTAACCTAGAAATCAGAGTACATAGTGAACTGCTTTTACAGTTTATAATAGGAGAATGTTAACACCCTGACTTTATATACTTTGAATCTCACTTTGGCTCAAGTTTTCCATTTCACTTGTAGTTTAATTTGTATAGCAGATGTGTAATGTGCAACAAAACATTTCCTGAGTATGTGATTTTTTTTGCCATCAGTAGTGTCTTCAGATTAAAGTATTATCTACATTGTTGTTTGGACTTGGTAGAAAAAATAAAACGCCATCTGGAGGAAGGGGGACAAATTTGTGAACATAAGTATATAGACAGTATTAGTATCTTTTCACTTATAATTTAAAACCAGTTTGAAGTTTCTTTGCAGTTTAAAACTTTAAAAATTCTACTTCAGGTGAATGTAGCATGTAACCTAAAGTCAGCTAAAATTATTAGACTTATAAGTGAAGAGGACCAAAGTTTTGCCACCCAAACTGTGCGTTTTGGGATATTGATTTTAAGCTGGTTAAGAAACAAAAAACTAAGAACCTTTGATAGTTCCCCTTTTCTGCTTAAGAGATGCCTATAGAAAAGCCTGATCCAGGAAGGAAATCTTAGCATATTCACAGCAGCATTAGATAGGAAGGATCAAACGGAGTCCTTATCCCCTCCCCAGCCCAGTCCATTGTTTCTGGGTCAAGCAGGAATTTGTTTGCCAACTGTGTTTTGCTCTTTTCAGCTACCTGTGAATTTTCGTTTTTCCCCATTTGCCTGCTTCCTTTCTCCTTTGTTTATAATGGCATGTAATACTCAACAGCCCAATGCCTCTTTGGATCTCATTCTTATGGCACCCTCAATATGCATTTCTATAATAAACTTTGGCTATTTTTCTCCTTTAATTTGATTAGTAGCCCCGTTAGAAGGACCTAGAAGGTAGGAAGAAAATTACCTTTTAGTCCCCACATAAGTATATATAAAATGAGTGTTGTAGCTCTCCTCAAGATTTTCAAATTTGATCACCAAAAGAGAAACTGTTAGCTTGCTTTACATTTTCAACATGAAAATTAACTCCCTCCTAGAGAATTAGTATTTGCATATTTTGCACAAAGGTGTTTATATCCTGAAAGAGTAGGCAAAACAGTTTTGTAATAATTTGGCAGAAGTTCAGGTGACTCTTTTCTTTTTCTCTATTATGAATTTCATTAAATTTGTATGCTTTTAGTTTGTCCCAATATGGAGGTAATAAACTGACTATGGCAGACTGTGGTTTTGCATGAAGCAAGCAGAAAAATGTGTTGTGAAAAGAGGGTAGATTGGTGTAGGGTAGACTATCTTAGCCAACCTTTCTGTTGTTGTAAAATTATTAAGCAATTCTTTTCCACAGCATGTATTTCAAAAATAGATATTGCTTCACTCTATTTAATGGTTATTATTACTTTTCTTCCTCTAAATGGAGTAGTGAATATGTGTAGGCTAACTTTGAAAATACATCAAGTTCTAATTTCAAATCACCATAATACTTAACAGTTACCTCAAACCTTAGAAATTGAATTATCTGCTTTATGTTGCCACTTAGCACTTCATGAACATTTGATAGTCTCTGAAGGTATGTGTCAAAAAAAAGCAGAATTATTAAAAAATGCTTTAGGAAGAACATATAATTGTAGATTATAGTTGGGTTTCTTTAACAGCATTTTATTTTAAAAGAGTGACATCTTTCTGTTTGAGTGGAGGAATTTAAATATCCTATTCTAGTTTTCCTGATGTTCTTTTCATTTTAGAAGACTGAATCGTGTGTGTGTGTGTGTGTGTGTGTGTGTGTGTGTGTCTGTCCCCAGAATACACCTGTTCTTTTGCACCAGATTTCAAAATGCATTGTTTGACATGTAGGATAAAAATTTTCAAGAACATGGAAGTAAAACTGAAAAATGATTCTAAAAAGAGAAGTGGACTAAAGAGTTAAGCGATAAATATATCATTTTGTGTACAGTACTTCCATTTAAAAGTGTGGTACTCTGAAAAATTCACTGCATCATCATACTGCATTACACATTTCAATTGTTCTTCTAGTAATTTTGGTAATAACTAGTATTTATATAGTACTTTATGATTTCCGTTTGCCAACATACATAAGATTTTTATTATCTCCATTTAAAGATGGAAATGAAGCTTAAAAATGTTAGATGATTTTATTGTTACCTTAGGTATGATATTAATATAAATAGTCAACATTAACTTGGTCAATGTTTGATAATGGCTCCTGATAGAATTTTTAAAAACTTTTTATTAGTAGTTTTTGTTTGTTTGTTTTTTTAGAGAGGGGGGGGGGAAGGGAGGAAGGGAGGGAGAGAGAGAAACATTGATTTGTTGTTCCACTTATTTATGCATTCATTGGTTGTTTCTTGTATGTGCCCTGACTAGGGATCCAACCCACAATCTTTTGGTATATGGGGCAACTTTCCAACCGACTGAGTTACCCAGTTGGGGCCTGATAGAATTTTTAAAGCTGAACAGTTCTTTTTTTAAGCACTGACGTGGTATTTGACCTCATCTAACTACTTTGGAAAATATTTTTCTTTTTTATAAGATGATATAACAGTTTAGGACCTTTAGGACTATATTATTATATGATTTTAATTAATTGATTTTTCACCAAGTGTGTAATAGCTCTTTGTCTCTAGAGAAAAGCTTAATTTAAGAAATACCATTTGCTATCACTGTTTGAAAGAAGAGAAGTGTTTACAAACAATGACTCAGGTGAAAAGCTTGTAACTGTAATCTGCTCATTAATGCAAAACATCAAAAGGGAATTTTAATTGCTTATACAGGGAGAGAGAGAAAAGGTAGCTATTTTCATATAAAACATTTATATATCATAAACTATCATTTAACATATTAATTTGTAGATTACTTTTTTTCAGTATATTAAAAATTCAAAGTTTCAGATTTTTCACAATTAGGTCACATTTTCTCGTGATTTTGAAAATGATAAAAATATAATGAATAATTTATTAATAATGAATGAAACTAGATCATCGCCAAAATTCTCTTACAAGATGAATTTACTAATAAACATTTAATACATTTTTATGAGCTATTCTTTATTTCTTATGATAGTTATAATAGAGTACTTTTATGCGTTTCATTTCTGTGAGACCATTGTACTCAGATAATTATAGGTTTTTTGTTTTATAAAACATTGTATTTCAGAAATATTGCTTGATCATTATTTTAATGCTTTTTTTAAATAGTGTCTTAAGAAAAGGGTTTGTGATGGCAGTGGTTAGGTTGCAGCTGTGTTATCTGTGTCACCATGATGCATATAAACATGAACATTACAGGTGTTTTCTGTGCAGGCTTTTTAAAGGAAGTACCCGCTACTTCACAAAATGCTAGAGAAATGTGGGTCTGAAACATTTTAACTCTTAATTGAAAGCTGTCAAGGAGTCACTTTTATTTTTTGCATTTCTTTGCATAACTTTTTAAGACCACTCTGTTTTACGTTATTAATAATAGTTCCATGATAAGCTAACTTGTTTTATTTAATAAGGCTGGTTTACTTCAATATAGTTATATTTTCACTACCATTTTTTTTGTCCTTGATAACAAACTATTCTGTTTTGTAAACTTTGAAAATCAAGCATATAAATCATTACCACTCGCTTTGACCTACCATGTGTCACAGCTTGCATCGTAAGCAAATCTTTCTCATTCAGTTTTTGCATCAGTAACCCAGGAAATTACGCGTGTGTTTCTCATTTGCCTTTCCTATTACAGGTCAACAAAAATCTCTCCTTTACTTCAACGTCAGTCTCCTCACAACTGACTAAGTTAAAACAGTCAAACATGCTGGACACTCCTCAGATTCTGCGTCCGTTTGGTTTCGCTCAGACTGGTGAGCCGCTTTCTTTGACTATTTTAAATATTCACGTGCTTTTATTTTTATTCATGAAAGTCATTTATTTTGTTTCAGAAATATAGCTCATAGCATTGTAATAGTCCATTTTCACACTTCAGTTATATTCTAGTATCTTTTTTCTTTAATGATCACTAAAGTTATTTCGAAATCAAATTTGAACTTGGGAACGTTAATAGTAGATACTCTCAACCTTTATTCCACTGAACAGATAAAAATTAAAAAAGCAAAACGTGTGAGTTTTAAACATGTATACTATTAAATCTGATTTAGCTTTCCTTAGGTAAAATAACCATAATTGATTTTATATGATATAATTTATTTCAAGGAAAGAAAGGTTAAATGTGTTTTGGCAGAAACAGGATCCAACCTGCCAGTGACATGATGTTTCTTTAAAGTTGGCAAATTAATGAAATATGCAAAGAAGCTAGTTGAAATGAATTATACAGTTACAAATTTTTAGGCTAATATTTTAAATTAATTTGAATAAGGTTTTCAAAGGACATAAAAGATAAAGCATTTATGTGAGAATGTGACTTTGGTGATTGAAAGATGATTGGCTATTTTTGTTCATTAACTATATTTTTTTACAGTATTTTGTGTATTACTGAATTCTTGTAAAAAATGAGACAACTGAGAACAACTAATTATCTTCAACAAAAATAATATGAAATTTTAGGTTGAAAGATTGATATAATTTACTTAGAAATTTGGGGACATTATTACTTTTCTACTTTGAAAGTGTAGTTTACATATGCAGGTTATTTTAATATTGCTTTATAAATTACATATTATGGTGGGAAAATACTTGGATCAGGAATTCTTATATTCACTCCTGGCTGTGCCTTTTATTATAACTTATTACCTGTGAACCTAAGAATATTCATTTGGAAACTAGAAATGATGTTTACATTATATTCTGTTGAAGTTCAAATCACAAAGCACATATGAAAACACTTTGTAAGCATAAGATACTATGCGAATATAACATACTTAAATTGTGCACATGATGAGTATGTGTACACTAGCTTTGAAAATACTTTGAGTTCTAATTTCAAATCATTATAATACTTAATTTATCCCAAACGTTAGAAATTTGAAATTTCTGTTACAGATGTCTGCCAGAAGTTGGTGTAAAGTGTTGGTCGTTCTTATATATAGTGGAGGGCACACCATGTGCTCTCCCTTTAGGCTTTTACTCTCTGCACCCTAAATAGATACTTGGTTTGCCTTTAGACCATGTCATTTTCATGACTAGTGAGGGAATCTATCTCCATCGTCTTTCTCCTGAGATTTTAAATTCTGGGAACAAATTTTTCATTCCACACTTTAGGATTAAGGCATAAACAGAAATGTTTGGTTGAGTTAATACATTAAAATTCATTTAAGTAGTGTCTTAAATTTGTCAGCCAACAAGATGTAGATGGTAGATAAAAAATTCTTCCTTTTCTCTAAAGGGAAAGAGATGAGAGGATAGATAATAAGGCCTTTGAAATGGAAGAGGGATTACCAGTGAGACAGATAAAGAATAAAGAAAATGAATAAAAGGAAAACTGGGTATGATAAAGGCAAGCCTAACAAACTTCACTGTTGTACACAGGTTGAGCTCTGTTTGCCCTGAGTTTTCTTTAGCCAAATAGACCTTGTGTTGGTGTATTTATATCATGCATGTTCCTCCATGTGTCCACTATCTCAGAAGCATTACCATTAAGCCATATTATATACATGATTACACTGCTTCACTTGATTTTGTTTTGTTTGTTTGTTTATTTTTAATCCTCACCTGAGGATATTTTTCTATTTATCTTCAAATAGAGTGGGAGGAAGCGAAAGGGAGAGAGAGAGAAACATCAATATGAGAGAGACCCATCAACTGGTTTCCTCTCGCATGACCTGGACCAGGGCCAGGGACAAACCACAATCGAGGCACGTGCCTTTGGACAGAATCGAACCCAGGATTTATTGATCCATGGGCTGACGCTCTGCCACTGAGCCAAACCGACCAGGCCTGATTTTTAGTTATTTTGCCTGACCTTGTTTTAAGGCATAGCTTTCCTTTAAAATTTATTGAGAGATCACCGTATAGAAAAGTTATAAAAGTAGAATATGTAGTTTGTTGCAAAATGGCCAAATTAATCCATTTTATTCACTAAGAAGCCAATCTTATTGGAAAAATTTTCCACACTAGGAGAAATAGGTGAACTAGTTTCTATAACTAGCTCCATTTCTAAATGACTAGAGTGTTGAAAAGTTCATTCAGGCCTCAGTTTTCTTATCCCTACAGGTAAATAAGGGCTCTGAATTTTGTGAGTTTTTGTCTTTAATATTCTGTGATTCTATTTAGTAATTAAACCAGTTTTAGAAGGGGATAAATAGGTAAAGTGTTCTTGACAATACATATAATCTATTAGAATCTGAAATATAGGACCACAAAAACAAATAATGTAGATAGATTTTCAGTAAGATTTTTATTTTTGAACATCCTATCTAAATAAATATTCAAGTGATATCTGTAGAAGTTTGGCTTTGTACAGTATAAAGAAAAGCTATTTAGCTATTTACACAGAGTTAGTCAATATGGGCTCCCTATCCATCATGCTAGGTAAAGGTTTAAGAGCAGGGGTTGATTTGATATGTGTGTGTGTGCGCGCGCGCGTGTGCTATAAAGAAGGCGGGTTTATGGTCTACAGTCTGTTGTAACTTCTATTGCCCTTATTCAGGGTGAGTTCTGGATAATGGAGATTGCTAATAAAGTATTTCCTTCATTCTTTGGTTTTGTATTCTCCAGAGTTTCAAGAATACTACTTTTCATTCTAAAATTATTTTAAGTGGCTACTTTGTTAAGGTACTCATCTAAGGATATGGACTAAGTATTACAGTCTCTGCTCTCAAGAGCTTACAGTCTGGCTGGGGAGATGAGCATGCAGCAAATTATTTCAGAGCGAGATAAATTCTGAAATCACGGTATAAATAAAATGTCACTGAATAAAAAGGGATAGAGCAGCGAAGAAGTTTCTCAGACTTTACATGTCCAAACAGAACTCTTGATTTCCTGTCCCAAAAATCCTTCATTTCCACTTCCCCTGCCAGGTACCAAGTCTTCCCAATACCAGCACATTTAACCAGTTGTTTAGGTAAAACTAGGAGCCATTCCCGATTCCTCCTCTTTTTTCCACTTCTCCACTTCCACTTAGATTATGTGACTACCCTGCTTAAAACTCTTCAATGGCTATCACAATTAGAATGGGTTCCAGAGTCGTTACCCTGTCTTACAAAACCTTCTGTGATCTTGGCTTTGTCTCACCATAGGCCTCATCAGCAAATGGGGCTTCAGGAGAGCCATGAAGCGAAGAAACAGGTAACCAAACACACACGCCTGGGAGAGAGCTTGGCATAGCTGGGGGATGGTTTGAGTCTTAGTTTAGCTGGAGGAAATGGTGAGATGGATGTGTTAGGAAAAACTGTGTCTGCAAAGGTAGATTGGGATCAAATTGTGCCCTACTGAGGAATTCACATTTTATTTTCTAATGTAATAGAGCTATCCAAAGGTATGAGTATGAAAGAGATGATAAAATGTGTTTTTTAAAAAAATACAGCTGGTGCGTTGGCTGGGTTGCTTGGTTGGAGCAATTGTCCTGTGCACCAAAAAGGTTGTGGGTTTGATTCCCAGTCAGGGCACATACCTAGGTTGTGGGTTCGATCCCAGGTGGGGGTGCACAGGAGAGGCAGCTGATCAATGTTTTTCTCTCACATCAGTGTTTCTCTCTCCTTTCCTCTCTCTCTCAAATCAATTTTTGAAAACATATCCTTGGGTGAGGATATGAAGAAAATACAGCCCGTGTCCGAATGACAGATGGGTTAGAGAGAAAAAAGTCTGAATACAACTCTTTTGAGATACTTTAGGAACTGTTCATTAGGCTGTCACTCTATCTTCTTAATTAGAATATAATAAAGCAATTAATCCTATTAAAATTAAAGCTATAAATCTTTCCTAAGTAGTTTGTATAAGATTTTACATGAAATTGTAGTTTGTAGCTCATAAGGAGTCACCATGTAGTGAACATGCTATATACTGCATCTCAGAAACTGTTTTTATACTTCCTCAGTATAATGAAGAAGATCTCTAAACAATAACAGCAACTTGTGTTCGGATAAAAAAAAAATTATAAAGTGCTCTCATATATATCCTCCTTTGATCCTCAACAAAACTGCTCTATGAGAAGTAAGGTAACTATTAAAATCATAAGGAGTGAAATCTTTTTAGAGCTTCTAGGATTTTGGAACTTTTGCTCTTCAGTTCCTTTACAGTGGAACTGAGAAGCAATGGGGCTGACTTGTGAGATTTCACCTAGCTAGTGGCAGTCGTGTCTAAAGCAGGATCTCCTCCCTCCTAGCTCAGGACTCCTTCTTACCACACCCAACTGCCTATTTCTAGAGAAGGGCACAAGTGCAGAAGGTCAAGTGACTGCCTGCTTAAGACCCTCAGTGAGACTGTGCCTGGAGCCACTCCTTCATCTCTGGTCCATGGTCCTCCCACTCTACCAAGAGGTCCCCCTGGCTGTAGGTGTTATCATTGTGACTAGCATTAGAGGTCTGTGATGTATGCAAAGTAATAATCTGAACAGTACTATCTATTTGGAATAGGTATAGTTGCTAAAACTGAGGGGTCACAGAGGTATTTTCTGAGATTAATGAACTTTTTTATTTTTTGGCCTTTAAATAAAATGTTATGTTTGCAAGTTATTAGATATATATTTTTTTAAGATTGGTTCTAGTGAAGCTGTGGTATTCAGTGTTCAGTTAATCAAGAAGTTCTCTGCAGAGAAATTTTGTTCGGTGACAGTTTGTCAAAATATCAGAACCCATTCAGTCATCTCAGGAGTTCTTATTATAGAAGTAAATTTTAAAATGTGAATTGTTCAGTTAAAAAATAAAATTAATCAAAGAAGAGGGGGTGAAAATTAGCTGGCAGTGGGGTA